TACGGCGGAGGGCAGGGGAGCCCTGCCCGCGGCCGCGCAGGGGGACTTCACCCAGCCACCCGCTCGGCTCCCGCAGCCCACAGTGACCAAGGCCTTGGGCCGTCCTGGTGTTGGCGGGGATGGGTGCGAGGAGCTGATGACAGAGTTTAGACAAGGCTTGAGTGGGGCATCTGCTGTTATTTGTGCTAAACTACTTCTGTTGCTACTAATAGCAGCAGTAATACCTTCACTGGTGTCGTGCCTTTTGTAATTCCTTCCTGACTTAAATCAGAAATCAATTGGACCCTACGCGATCAAATATTTTCCCTGCAAAGAGAGATAACATTTGACATGACAAACTGTGTTCTGTAAAGTGAGAAGGAGATCAAACAAGTTACAAATATCAATTAAATCTGCTGAAAGGTGTACTCTTTCATGCAAGTGCAATTAACTAGTAATTTATCTGGGAACAAGGTGGGACTTCTATTCCTTGGAAAGTATTTAAAGTAATCCTTGTTTTGTTTTGTTTTGTTTTTTAATGCATCAGGTTATGGCTATAACCTCAGGCTTAATGCAAAAATGACTAAGTTGGGACTTTGGATTCTTTTCTTCAAAAATCAGATTGGTTTATTAATCAGGCAATTGAAAGTTAGAAAATATTAAACAGAATTAATCAGTCCAAACAAATCTATAAGACTTCCATCAAGGTCTAAAAATATTTCTCAATATATCAAAATGCTTTATGAAATAAGTTTGTTGAAATACCACAGAATGAAGAAAGGTACTGACTCTCCTGCTGTGCCATTTCAGTCTTTTCAGAGTGAAACGTTTCACTGTTTCATTTCTAATTTATTCTTTGTTATACAACACAAGATTTTTTTTAAAAAAAATCCAAATTTATCTTTCCCATCTTACCAAATCTTATAAATGCCAACAATTGAAACAACCGTCAGTATGAATTTTCCTTGTAGAAATTTTATAATTCTGGGACATAAAGTAGATTTAGATTTTGATGAAGGATAAAATCCTCCATGTATTAGAACTTTCATACTGCCTGGACTTGAATTGAGACAGCTTAAATCTGACTAAAGATTTGAAGCTAACTATTTAACCATGGAGTTACAAGTCAAGTGAAATAAGGGAATTTTCTTTGCAAAAGCAAAAAAGTACTATTTTTCTGAAGGGCTAAAATCTGGGGTAAAACCATGTGTTTCCTGTGAGATTTGTTCCTTATACTTAGTTTGGAAAGCAAGACACAATTTGAAGTAAAAATACAGTTACGGGAGGGCAATAACAAAAAAAAACCCCACACATAAGAAAGGGGAAGATTTTATATTTTATATCTTGTTTTCTGAAGAAATTCACTGTGAGTAAACATCATATATTTCACAGCCAGAAAATATGAACACAACCTTTAACCACAAGATAGATTAGGTTCATCATAGACAGGTATATCCTGTCTGCAAGGCACCAGCTTGCTGAGCTTTATTTGAGAGGTCTGTCGATACTCTCACTGAGTTGCAGATTTTTGAGTTTGAACAGATTAGTCATACAGCAGCTAAACAAGGACAAATTATTTGCAAGATAATTTGCTTCTACTTAGATTTGGAACAGTGTTCGAAAACCATACAGCGGGAGTTAGGCATCCTAGCTTTCTCTGAGGCCTTTGTGTTTTGGAAAATAACCTTTTGGATATCAACCTGAGCCTAGGAAGTTTCCATCAGCCACCCACTCCCACCGAAACATCCAGTGCTTTAGAAAACTCCATTACCACATCTTTATGCTGAGCACATCTTTATGCTGAGCACCACACAGCGCACAGAGTAGGTAAAATGGTGGGGGTTACATTCAAAAGACACAACATCTACAATGCAATGTGTTATCAACAAGGCGCAGTAGGCTACATGATTAATTGCATGAGCAGGCTCTGGAATATACGAATGCGGGAGGGGAAATGCTGCCATCTCTACTGTGGGCATGGTGACCATGCATGATGGCTTCTGCACCTGAGGACAGCCTAAAGGACCTCAGTCTGAAAGATAAGGCCAAAGCCTCCGGCATTCATCTCTGAGCAACATATTGCAGGATCAAAGCCAACCTCAACATCAACTTAGACGCTGTTATACTCATGTAATCGTATTTTTAGTTCTTTGATGCTAGGTTTCTGTTTCTGGTAGACAAAAGATATTGATCTAGCCCTATGTGTATTACCACCTCTCTTTCTGCAGTTCTTCAAGATCAGTCATGTTGCTATCTCAAACGCTTTCCCAGGATGCTTATTTTGACAATGTTTTTCTTTCTTTTTCTGTTCTTTCTAGCTGAACAACCGCAGGAAAGTGAGGGTGGTCAGGAGACGCGGAGCTTAAGCCCTCACCGCGGCTTTGACAAATCACAGTTAAATGACTGCCCAAGAGATTCTGGCTGTTACATCTCATCAGAAAATTCAGATAATGGTAAAGAAGAAGTAGACCCAGAAACCCTGTCTGACATGGTGCAGTCAATAACACTCACCGAGTCAAACTGATTCAGTCCTGCTACTTTCTGCAGATTTTCAGAGAAGACAATATCAGATTTGCTGGTATGATGACACAGAAGCAGAACACAAAATATTCTCAACACCAAAAATCTACTTCTCTCTCATGTATGATGCCCTAGACTGTTTAATATATGGACATTTGATAGCTAAATGTTAGCTGATAATATCTCATGTTTTTCTTTTCAATGAATCCACAGACATTTCACTGAAAAAGTGTATACATACATATTTATAAATATTTGTACAGCAAATGCATTTTCTATAATAATAGAGAATTATTTTAGGCAGTGGTACATAATCTGGACATGTTAATTTCTGGAACTGTGCAAAATGTAAATATTGTACATATTTATTTTAAGAAGATACAGATTGATCACACTGTCTCTATTTTCAGATGTGTTTTGCTCATATTTGTACAGAATGTATTTTCATTGATATATTATCATAATAAAAAGGTGGATACATGCACATCCTACTTTGAAAAGTACCAAGCTAATTCTCATTAATATTAAAGCTGTCTCATACCATTCTTCTACAAAACAGGCTCTAAAGTAGACTATCATCTCCTACACTTTATCCTGGAGGTATGAAAGACCTGTAGTGTGAATCTGAATCAAGCTCTCTGTGTTCATTATCTTTTAGAGAACATAGCCATCTGAATGGCTTATGCACTGGCAATTTCTCTACTGTTGTTTTCACACCTGCTCTCATTCTTCCCAAGCGTTATACAGAGAACGCAAGCTTGGAGCAAAAAAGAAAAACGTATTATGCTTTATGATCACTTTTTGTGAAGCTCTTGCCTTTTGTGCGTGGTGTAAAGTTTGTTAATAGAGTATTCGTTTGTACACAAAACTTGGAAGCTAACATGGTTATTGTGCGCTATCATCTTTCATCTGAGATTTTATTGTCATTTCCCAGTATATTTTGCACTGGAATACACATTTTAACTGCCTGTCTTCTTTTAGAGTACTTCCTTCAACAATAAACAGAATCATGTGTTTGAGCCTTTTAAAACTACTTGATTCTTAATGTGGTCATTACATTTCAAAGACTGCTCTGTTCTAAGACTAACACAAGAAATGGCAACTCCATTGAGTGTTTTTATCATGCATAATAATCTGTGTATCAAATCAATAGAGAAACTTTTTGCTCACTAATTGGTCACACAATTTTCATCATTCAAGGCATTTTGCATTTATGTTAAAAAGTTTGTCCGTATTGCTGACAGCTTAAAAGAAAATCACCTTCAGAAGAGATGAAACAGGGAAAGTTTCACCTCAAAAAGTCTATTTCCGAAGAAACTAAAGACAAATGGAAAGCTTTTCTCCTTTTTTTTTTTTCCAATGGAAATGCTTTCTGTAGTTTTCATGACCGCTCAAACTGCTGCTGCTGTCAGACTCCTTAATACACAGATCTGCTTTGAAGGCTACAGTATAAAAATGGCAATTTTACTAGATTTCAAAGATTTGGAGTAAATAAACTCTCTTTAGAAAAATAAACAGGAGTAGGAGACGCTAAGATTTGTTTCTGGTTTTAACTTAACTTTTTACACTGGCAACAACCATCAGTTAGCAGCAATGACCCCGTATTGCCAGGCATAGTGGGGATGCAGAATCCCTTGACGGGATGAAGTGTGTGAGAGCTTGTATCAAGCAGCTATATTTGTTTCTTAATGCTTTTCTAACCAGAGTGTGTCATGACTTGCAGTACTGGCTTTACTTAATATAACTTTAATAACTTCTGAAATAATGTATACGAATTGGCTTCTATTATTGCCTCATTCTAGAGAAGGACTAAAGTCAGCTTGAATTCCTCTAAGAAGGGCTTATCTTTTGGCTTTTGCAGCGGAGGCGCTTAGTCTTCAGGCTGCTTCTATCTAGACATCTGTAAAATATGTTGAGGTGAGTTTAAATATGATTATGACTGTTAAGAAACAGCTAAGTTAGCTGTGTCAAGGACTAACAAACAGAGACCAGAGATGTACTGTGATACAAAGAACTCTGAGAAAAGTTTATTCGCATAGGTTTGTAAATGAAAAATAGGCCTCCCTAAGTAGTTACAGTGAGACAAGCGAGGCTTTCACCAAGGCAAAATACCCAACAGCTGCTATTATTTTACAGGAATCAAACCCTGCATCACTTGGGCTGATAGCAGGAGGCTAAAGGTGTAAGGTTAACTAGTTGGTAACTAGGGGCATAAGCTGTGGTTTAACCACTCCTGTCCCTAATCAGTAAGGCTTTGGCCAAAGAGCTTCTTGCTTAGAAAAATGTGTCAGCTGAAAGCTTGTTCAAGACATTTGTAACTTCCTGCGAAGGCAGAGCAGATTAGATCTCAAACAGCGAAACTTCTGCTCTCTTGAGCTATTCTGAGAAAAAGAATGAGGAAATTTCTTACCACAAAGAAGAAAAAAAAAGCATGTTTCCTTTAAGAAGCATACCCAACCTTCTTTTGTCTCTCAGTGGTCTCGTTAATCACACTGATCATGAAATAAACTGTTTGTAATAGCACAAACAGTTCTCCGACCAGCTTTAGTGCTGGGTCATCTGAATATAAGGTAATCTAGGAACTGCTGGAGAAAGTTTGGTGGAGATCTGAGCTACTTTTGAGGAAGGTTTAAAACAGCCCAGAGTCAGGGAAGAGAAGCAAACAGCAGAGATTTTGTTCCTCTCTGTCACTTAGTGGTGTCATGTCCCTTTTCATTTTTAGTAACCTTCCTCCACAGTTAAGGAGGGCTAAAAGGTTTGGAAGTCTCTTATTTGGAGATAACCGAGAGTCCACCGTTCCCTGCAGTTACAAAGCATATGAAAAGATGCAAAACCAGTCAGTAATGGTAGGGGTGAAGCTAACGAGGTTAGCCCTACCAGCTTTTAGCCCGTGGGGATTTCCGCTGCCGCAGAGGGCCATGGTGCAGGTGCAGCAGGCTTCCCTCCACCCCAGGGGCTGCGGCGCTCGGCCGGGTGCTGGCACGTGCGCTGCCACCGGCCCGCGGCAGAAATCCGGTAACTCCGAAAGACTTGGGTGACCCACAGAAAAATCCAGGTGGTGACAGGCACCCTCGTCCCCAGGGAAGAACTACCGCTGGTCAAAGTTAATGTTGTTTTTAGCAGTGTTGCCTCATGCTCAGCACCGTTTGACTGCCGTTCACAGCTGGTATCATGTTAAAGGAAGGCTGCTCTACCATAAAAGGGGGTAGTGAAGTGCCAGACTGCAGCCCCGCGATCCACGCGGACCAGCCTGCGGATCCCGAGAGTCAGCATCCTGCTCTCCAGGGTTTGTAACAAACCTTCCAAAAGTCAGCGGGCATAAATGCATCATGTTAGAGGCTAGCAACAAGGAGGGCTTTTGCATTCATTTTGCTGAGGTGTGAATGAGCACATGAAGCATAAGAAAGAACACGGGCACACACCCATGGAAATTCTGGAGGATCTCCAAGGAACTCAACTAATTACTGGCTGCCAGCTGGAATTTGCAGTGCTCGCACAACCCCTGAGCCCAGCAGCCCAGACAATTTTCCACCCACCTTACCGCCCAGTTATCCGTCCCACACTTCACCAGTCCTACCACTGAGTGCCCAGTCTCTCCTGTGACGTGAGGAAGCCCACAGCTCACTAGCTACAATATAAAAGGAGCCTTTATACCATAGCACGTGCTCCCAGGTAGTGGCAAATAAAATAATTTCTGGCATTCTCAGGGGATCTGCATCACACTGGTGGAGCCATTGGAAAAGAAAGTTGGTGCAGAGCGAGAGCACAAGGCAATATTGAAAGAAAAAAAGGTTACCTCGGGTGCTGTGAACCAGACAGGCCAGTTTCTAGATGTCACTAGGTTCACAGGATGAGTACAACCCGCTCCCTCCCTGGAAATTAGCTGTTCCATCAAGCCAAGGTCAGTACAGTTCTTTCTAACCACAGCTACACACATAGGTACACACACAAAGCTGTGGTGTCAACAGTTAAGGGAAGCCATGCCACAGACTCCTTCAGTGCCCTGGGTGGCATTAGCAGCTTGGTGTCTGTCCTAAGACAGCCTCCATGGCAGTTTTGCAACTGAGTCACACGTCATGGATGGCTGAGTCTGTCTTCATGTCAGAGAGAAGTAGTTCCAGCATGTCTAGTAACAGCAGGGCAAACCCTCTGCCTCTTTTTCACAGCTCAAAGATGAGGTTTTGGGTTACGTTAGCCACTGAAGACATTATTTGCATCATGCTCTGATGTGTATGTTGTACTACTGCTTTGTGCAATGACGCTCTTTGCCCAGTTCCAGGCATACATTACATAGGATGGTATAAGCATCTTCTTTTGGTCTAAAAGTTCCTGCATGAGGTGTTCACTTGCATGTCTGATCTTTGGTTCCTGGTAGGCAATGAGCCGACTTCTCCCTACAACTCAGGGGAGACTGTGGAAGAGGCTATAATATGGTGGTGTAGAGCATTCAGTTTGTACGTCGCCGGTGTTTGTCTTTCACCTGATAAACCCCTCAGCCTGTAACTCCTTATCTGCCGCTGAAGTCCTGAGGGCTGGCCAGAGGGCTGGCACTAGCAAACACCCTTGCCGCAGACAGACAACCAGCCAGTGATTCTGTCAAGCTCTGTATTTTACCTGGCCCTAGAAGAAGGGCTTGTCTGTTCACTGGGAGACCAACAAAAGTAGCGTCAAATCTTCTATTTCCTTCTGTCTAGGAAAGGTCAAGGAATGCCACTGCAAGCACATGGCAAAAGGGACTGGAGGATAGTACTGGATTCAGGGAAACACAGCTGTTAAATCTAGAGAGTCACATCATATACGCATAATAAGCAGCAGTCATTGCAATAAACCTGAATTTCTTGGGAAACACATATACTCTAGAAGGAGGAAACAGGTGGGAAGAGGTCCATGATAGGCTAGAGGGATCTGAGATGGTCATTTCATTCTCTGTGGCTAGGCAGAATTTGGTCTGACGTGCCTAGCAATTTCTGCTAGGCATGAGAGCTGTCTGCTGACAGCAAGAGCACAGAAAAGCTGCCTGTGCCAGGAAGTCATGCACAAACGAGGGACAAGAGGGCCGGAGGGCAAGTGGTGTTCCTTACCAGTTCACATATCTTGGCTGCTTAATTTAAACCTGGCCAGTGTCCCACAATGTCTGTGTTCTCTGGGCAGAGCCCACATGTCCTCACCTCCTAAGGCCCAT